GATCCGCGATCGCTTCTCGTAGCCGTTGGTTCACCTGTTCTCTGGCCAGCTGATAATACTTCTGCATCCGTTAACGCCACCTTCTTGGAACTCGATCGTGCTTGCGAGTGCTTCCCACCGGGATCACAGCTTCCAGAGTGGATCTAGGATCCCAGCCATGTATCATATAGAAAGATGTTTCGCCTCGGATCCGATCCCTTGCGGTATTGATCGCGAAGGTGAGTCGTTCAGCATACTCATCCCAATCTCGTTGATCCAGATCTTCCACGTACATCTTAAGAGCCCTGGTAGTTGTCTGGACCATACGTTCCGTAGATCTATTGGCTTGGGGTCTATATGCCATAGTAGCCCGTTGACGTTGTCCCAGGATCTTGTTGAACGACTTAAAGAAATCAGACATAAAGCCTGGCTCCCGAGATCACCTCGCTCGCGCCAAATCGACGAAAGACACATTCTTCGTAGGTCTCGGCGATGGTTTGAGTGGATCTAGAGGCGCTGGCTGTGGCGATCACATATCCTGAGAACAGGTCCACGAAGATCAGCAATTCAGTGTTGCCATTGAAAGACCTAGGCAGTGAAGGTATGTGATCCATGGCAATGATCTGAAATGGGTACGTTGCCTGAAGGTTACCAGGCGATTCGCCCTTGATCTGAGGTCCTCCCTTGCCTGTCTCACAATCGACACATTCCCCCACGTATCGCTGTACACTCTTATACAGACCTCTCCAGTGGAAGTGATCACGGATCCGATCATAGGTGCGACCAACCCATTGGTGACCACCCTGTAGACTCGTATGATAGTGGTGCAAAACGTCCTGTTGAAGAGTCTCAGGTATCACTAGTCGCATCAGCTTATCTCGATTTGCAGCAGTTTCCTTAGTCGTCGGGCAATAGAAGAGTTCAGCGTAATTCATGGCAATAGATCCGAACATCTTAGCTTCTTCTTGTGTCAAATCCCGGATCTCCCCGATCAAATACTTCTTCAAGCCTATGATCCACGACTCCTCGTCCTGCGCTTGACGGATCCGCTCCATTCGTAACTCTCTCACGACTTCTTCTCGTAGGGAGTTTGGATCAGATGCCACACGCACCCCCGATCTAGTCTTAGATCGGGTCGTCACAGCTGATACCTGTGCGGTCTCTTCTTCGACCTTCACTATCAGGATCTCATCCAACCGATTTAACGTTATGAGATCTTGGGTCTCCGCGTCGGACTCTATCTCGATCCCACATTGCCGTTGCAGAGCAGCACTTGCTAGGCTGTTAGCACTCCCATTCCAATCTCTTTTGACATGCAACAGCTCGTGATCTGGCCACGTACGTAGTCGATCCAAGGCTCGGGACGTAACAGTGTCAGACCTGGCGCCTTACAATCAATCTTTCCTCGCACTTGTCGGATCACCAGGTCTGAGTCTCCGCAGATCACCAGACGCTGTGGATCCAGATCCTCCAACAGATCCTGCCTCATTCACCGTCAAACCTTCGGCATACCCTGATCTAGCTTTCAACACTCTCCATTCGGGCAGCCTCCACAAGATCGCGCTGTAGGCGCCCCCTCCTCTCTTGACACGGACCGATCCATCGAAACTAACGACATATAGTTCCTCCTCTCGTCTGGTAGTGGGGATCGGAGCTTGGATCTTCCGTCTTGGCTCCTTCTTGGGAGCAATGGAGATCAACGCTTTATCCACTTCTGATCTAGGGGTAATACTGGCCGCCAGTGCTCCTAAGATCTCATCCTCACCTTTGACACACTTGGTGATCTCAAGTGTCCAGGGTGACAACAGAGCGGCCCATTGTCCTAGACGTCCCTGTAGGGCCTGGGATCTGAAGAGCCACGCCAATGTTGAAGACCGGTGTGGCAATAATCTTCGCCTTCAGCATAGTGAAAGCGTTCTTCGCCCTCGCCCACCTATCGCGCTCGCCCCCAGTTAATTGACCATCCTCAACCTGCGTCTCCTCTGCGTTCATCTTAGCGATCTCATGGAAGTCTGCTTCCCGCAGCTCGTACAAAATCGCGGCATAGACTGCGAAGTTCTCTTTGAAGCGGCTGTAATAGTTCAAGCATCCGAGGAACGACTGCATCGTCTTCAACTTGGTGGGGAACGGAAGGTTCGCGATTGCGTTGAGCTCCTTCGGTTTCGCTTCAAGCCCAGCTGAGGATACTTCGTGTCCTAGATACGCCACCTTGCGTCGACCCCAGTAGCTCTTGGCTACGCTGATCGACAAGTTCCATCGATCACAGACGTCGAGCGGTTTGTCGACACGATTGCACATGCTATCCCACGAGTCGCCCGTCACACACATACGACCTTCTCCCGAGGACCGACGGCTTAGGCCCCGGCTCTCCTTCCTCGAAGACATCAACATGACTCGATCTGTCCTGATCGGTCTTGATGCGCATGTGGCCATACAACGCGTTGTCGACGATTCGTTGGTAAATATGAGAAGCGTTCTTTAACCCGAACGGCGTCCTCGTCCACACGAACAACCCGAACGGTGTGATGAACGCTGACACCAGCCTTGCTCGCGGGGTCATTGACACCACCCAGAAGCCACTAGCCATATCGAGGGAACAGTACCAGAGCGCCTTGTCCAAGTCTTCGAGGAGGTCGTTGATCAACGGCATGCGGTACTCCATCAACCTCGCTGTTCACCACCTGGTAATCAATGCAGAGGCGAACGTCAACCCCGTTAGCCATGATGATGACTACGATGGGTGACGCCCAAGGTGAGGTGGAAGTGGTGATGATCTTCGCCGACAGCAGTCCCTTGATGAGCATGGACAGCTTTTGGCGGAATTGTGGCGCTACCCGTCGACATCGCGGAGCTACCGGCTTTGCCGTTCCGACATCAATGTCGCAAATAGCTCCGAAGGCGGCCGGTGATAAGGCGTTACCAGCTCCGATCAACAAGTGGCGTCGCTTCCAGATGATGCAACGCAGTCGCTCGCGTTCTTCCGGTGGTCATCCACTTGTATGTCGTCGATGGTGACTTCCTTCGTGGTAGCCTCCACTTCCGGCAGGACAGCCATGTTGTTCTCGATGTCTTTAGGGAAGATGTCTCCACCTTCATGGTAGCAGATAGCGTCGTCCACGTCATCGTCAGCTTCCTCCTTCGGTTCAACTTGTGTCCTTCCCAATTCCGTTGATCGAGGTTGTTCTCGATCACTCTTCTCTCCCGTTGGCTCGGTCGTATCGCTCCGACCCTCTTCCTTCGGTTGAAACCCTGC